CCCCCCGCAGGGGGCACGCCGAGATTCCCCTCCGTACCCCCAGGGGTGACCTCGCGGGCTGTGAGCTGGCAAAGATCCGAATAATTAAAAAAAAAATAATAAATACATATAGTCGTCCCAGTGACTGAGAAAAAAAAAACAAAAACCACGGATTTTGTAAGAGAGACTGAAACGGGGAAGGTGCTTTTCCGTACTGCGTCCTATGCACTTTCCCCCATGGAAGTTTGTAGCTCTTTTAAAAATTTGGCCTGACTGAAATACACCTCCTCCCAGCTCTGAAATAATGCATTTTGTTTTCCACCGTTACACCATTGTTTGAAAATAATTCAAGCTAGTTTTAGTTCTATTAACCCCCACTCCCTAACTTTTGGGGTTTTAACTACTATTTCTGGGAGAGGCGCTTCCATTTTAAGCTTGATCTTTGCAAATGATGTGCAATAAGCGAGAAACCTGTCTCCGCCCCAACAAACCAGGATTGGGAAGAAAAGGAGGGCTTTGATCAAGGTTTTTTTCCCCCTCCCGTGCTACTGATTTGCTTACTGTGTATTCGATTCGCGTTCCCAGGAAGGCGAATCTCTATATTTAGCCAGCATCAGAATCGGGTTTAAGGGAGTGGAATAATGAGTGGAACTGCCAGTTTCAATGAATAAAGTATCAAAGTGAGAAAACAACACTTTGGCTTCATTCAAATTGCCCCAGAAATTTGGAAAACAGCTCTTAGAAAGGTAAAGATTTAAAAATCGCCATCAAACCCATTTTCACACTTTCTAAAGCACAATTTAATATTATTTACTTTTGGGAAGGGTACTGGGGGAGCCTGCTAAAACTCGGTGGCTCTACACAGCGATCAATAGCTTTCATCACGTCGAGGGGCTCAAATAAGATTATATGCATTCGAGAGAAGGGAAGGGGGAAAAAAAGACCCAAACCCAACCCCAAACCGACAGCGGCGATTAACCCTCCCTGTCCCGTAAAGAACAGCTAGTAATTCGGTCCTGAGCTTGCTTAATGGCGAAAACTAGGACGGCTTTCCAGAGGGAAACAAGGCGGTGAAGAAAAAAAAATCAGTTTTGGGAAAGGATTAAAGAGGTAGTGCTGGTTTCGGAAGGGAGGCAGCATTAGGGGCTGCCTGAGCTGCCCTTGCCGGCCAGGGCTGGGGCAGCACCGGGCTGCGGCCGCCGAGCCTCGGGCGCCAAGGGGGCAGCGGCCGGCTCCCTACCCGCCCCACCGAGCAGCCGTCGCGGTCACCGTCCCGACTGCCAGTTTCAATGAATAAAGTATTTAGAGAAGAACCCTGCTGAAGGATTTCTCTTTTATGATATCAATATACACGTGAACGGGAAGACATAGAACGGGATTTGTACATATTGGAGACACTTCCGAAAACATAGGTTAATTTTATTTTTTCCTTCTTGCTCTTGGTTTCCTACACATCACTCCCCGGGGCTCAGACCCGGGGACCCGGCCTCGGGAGGCAGCAAGGTCCGTCCCCCACCCCCAGCGACTCCGACTCCAGTCGGGGGGGCTGTTTTTGTCCCTCTGCACGGCTGCGGCTCAGCGCAGCCCCCCCGCTCGGGCAGGCAGAGAGGCTCCTTCGGTCAGCTCCGGCTTAGAACTTTGATTGTGCAGCTTTGGACCACAAAGATGCTTTGCAAGAAGAGTCTGGGTTTGGGCTCCCAGAGGTTCAGATTTCCCCTCGCTGCCTTGCGGGATGCAGCGAGGAGACCAGGGCTGAGCTCTGTGCAATGTGCCGAGGGGGAAAAGGGGCTCGCAGAAGGCTGAAACGGGAAACAAGGCGGCGGGGAAATCAATCACGAAATGTATTAGCTGCTCCGGGGTGTAGGCTTTGACTCATCTAGAGGTGTGCGATCTTTAATCTCAAGTCTTAGCAACTGCATGTGAGGCAGAAGTGTACCGTAACAGCACTAAATCTATCAAAACACGAGAAAACCTGTCAGCGGGCTTGTGCGCTCCTAGGAAACCCTCGTGGCTTTAATAATACAATTTGGCTTATTAAATCGCTCTACCGTCTAAAAAAAAAAAAAAAAAAAAAAAAACAACACACAAAAAAAAAGAAAAAAAAAAAAAAAAAAAAAAACACCACCAAAAAAACCAAACCCGTCCTTTGCCTCCTAGAGTCTTTTCCGAGCGCACCGGCGCCGTCACAGGGCTGGCCACCCGCACCGGCCCCCGTTAACCCGGTCAGGAACGGGCACGGTGTGACGGGGAGCGCAGGCGAGGGAGGAATTTCCAGAAAGTCCACTCAAAGGCGTTGGGAAGGTGGCAGAGAGCGGGCCGGGCTCTGCGGTGCGGAATAGGGCTGGAAAAGCCCAATTTCTCCCCCGCCACGTGCCGGCTGGCCTCCGCAGCGGCGGCCGCGGGCGCGCACGGGGGGCGAGGCGGGTCGCGGATATTTATTGCTTTAAACTTTCCCCTTTGTTATCTTCCCCGTGTCAGGAAGTGTTCGAGGACAGGAAATAACAGCGGCGGTTTTTGTCTCCGGGGTGAACAGAAATCTGCGGGCAGGGAGGGAGGTTTTTAAGGCCCGCTTCCCAGCCCCGGCTCGGGCGGGGGGGCCGCGGGCAGGATCTGGCCCTTTCGTGCTCCCCGAGGGACGCAGGGGACTGGGGTGTGTGGGGGTGTGTGTGTAGGAGTCGGGGGGATTGGGGGGCAGCAAGCCGAGCCCGACCCCAGCGCTGCCCCAAAGGGAGCCCGGCCCACGTCGGGGGACAAACTGCCGGGAGCGAGGGGGATGCGGAGCTTGCGGGATATCTCTGT